GCATTTCATTTGCCTGCAGGCTGATGGGCAGGTCTGCTTCCGGCTCCCTCGAGCTTGCACTGGGGATGTCTCCGCTGCTGTCACCTGAGGCTTGACTCCACCTCGGCTCCTACACACAGCTTTGGCTAGAGGCCGGGGCTCCTCTCCATGCAGGTCTCTGCACAGTGCTGCTCGAGCGGCCTCGAATCACAGAGACTGGCTTCTTTGAAGTGAGTAGCCCAGGGAGGAGGAAGAATACACAGTGGCAGAGTCTTTTATGACCCCACCTTGGAAGTCACACACTGGAGTCCCCTTTATCCACAGGGCTGTGTTTCAAGATCCCCCGTGCATGCCTGACACAGGTTAGTGCCGAACCCTGTATATAAGACTGCATGATACACATATACCTCTGATAAAGTTTAATGTATAAATTGTGACTGGTGATTCACAACAGTTCCTAGAATAGAACAATTATAAAATGCGCTAAAATAAAAATTTCCAACACTGCCACTCTTGTGCCTTGGGGCCTTATTAGGTAAAGGAGAGCTACCTGGACACAAGCCTTAGAGACGGGGGTACTCCTGAGTGACTAGCAGGCACAGATATGGTTCACACCTGCCGCAGGAGCGGCAGGATAGCAGATGTCATTGTGCTACTCAGAATGGTTTGCTTCTGAAAGTTTCCCTTTAATATATTTGGAACATAATTGACTATGGGTAAATGAGGCCAAGAGGGAAACACTGTATCGTGATTCCTACACCATCCTATCAGTCACCTAGGTCTGCCCTCTTCGGGGAGGAGAGACACACACAGAAGCATTGGATCCAGCAGCCAGAATCCTTAAGGGCTATCTTGAAGGTTGCCTGCAACAAGCACCTAGCTACGAGGGCTGCTGTAGGGATTAAAGATATTACTATAGGCCAGGCATGGTGGTGCACACCTGTAATCTCAGCACCTGTGAGGCTGAGGCAGGAGGGTTGCAAGTTCAAGCCCAGCCTGGGCAATTTAGCAAGACCCTGTCTCAAAATAAAATTCAAACAGCTGTGTTCATTCCCCAGAACCACACACACACACAAAGACACTAACATATGGAATGAGAGCAGACCAGTGTGCTGCACACAGCAGCTGCTTATAAATGTGAGCTTTTCTTACTATTGGGCCACAGCACAGGAACTCACGTGACACTGTCGTTGCTTACCTCAAGGTGATACTAGTCCTTCCATCGTCAGCCTAGGATGTCCTTCAGAGTCATCTGCAGTCTTCAGTGGGATTTTTTAAAAAATATTGTAAGGGGTCCATGAATTTATGGACATGATAATACTTGTTCAAACTTTACAGAAATGCGTACTGTATAATTTGTTTGTTTCCAATGACACAGTAATAAAAATAAAAAATAACATCCTGCCCTCCGCCTCCCAAGGGCTGGAATTACAGGCGCGCGCCGCCCCGCTCCGCAGCTCCTTCTAGACCGGGGGCGCTCCTTGTGGTCATCTGGGTTAGGGCCTTTTCCTAAATCCAGGTTAGCGCCCTTTCTCCCGGTTACCTCAGGAGAGAGTGCGAAGATGGCCACCAGGGGGCGCGAGTGAGCAGGGCTGGCTGCAGCCCGCAGAGCAAAGCGGGTCCCCGCTGAGGTCCCGGGGTTTTCCCCTCGAGCGTCTCCGCAGTGCGCACACAGCATCCTCCCGGGAGATGGGAGGGTAAACTGTGTGTTGGTTATAATCAGTGCTCTGGAGCCTGGCCAAAGCTCTGCTCAGCCCCCAGAGAGCCCGCCCTCTGGTTGCTCTGGATTTTTCACGTCTATCTTTTCCGCCGAAGCGCTGGGTGAAATCCCTTGGCGATCAGGATCACCACCTCTGACACAGCCGTCATCCCTTTCCAGTGTTTCTCCAGCAGGTTCGGTGAAAGAATCTCGGCCGAACCGGGGCCACTCGCGAAGTACTTGAACACGACGTACTTACTTACAGTTTTAAGAACTGAAAATTCTTAAGCCATGACGTTCCAGATCTTAACGCCCGGAACCACTCTAGGAGGTAGGAACTGTCTTATTCCCGCCGGCTGAGCTCACGAGTGCAAGACGCGGAGGGCAGGCAGCCTTCCCAGCCTCACACGCCAGGGGGCGCCGGAAGCAAGTTTCATAGTCTCCACTGTTGAAACCGCGCAGCTTCAGTGTATGCAGGACTAGAAGTCAGATGACTAAATCGCGGTTCTTCTAGTGCTGAATGAATTGATCCTGGGCAAGTCCTCTGATTTTATGTTTTTCCACGAAAAACCGGGGGTTGGGGACAGCCCCCACCCCACCCTGGTCATAGGAATTGAACCTAGGACCTTCACACTAAGCTACACCCCAGCCCTTTTTTTAATTTTTAATTTTGAAACAGGGTCTTGCTAAATTGCCCAGGCTGGTCTCAAATTTGTGATTCTCCTGCCTCAGCCTCCCAGGGTGGTGGGAGTAAAGGCTTGCACCACCATGACCAGCGGAGATTTTCTTCCATAGCAGGAGTGAAGAGTAAAGGTAGAGATAGCAAGGATTTCTCTACAATTTCTGAGCTGGGCAACTGAAGGGAAAGTTATCCTGTCCCGGTGGGGAGGGGATGGAAGAGGAGGGAGCCTCAGGACCCCATCTGTGCCTTAGGTTCCGGATGTAATCTGCAAGTGGGACGATGGATTCTGATGATAAGGTCACACTGCAAAGGGGTGCGTGCTATGGTTGTGTCTAGATGTTTCCCCAAAGCTTCAGAGGGTTCTTTGTTCTGTTTTGTTTTGGGCGGGTGGCTGAATCTAGAGTGTGTGATTGATTCCTGGTGCAGTACTGGGACTGAGGGGGCTTGGATCGAGGGGTGATTACTGGATCAGTCCAGTGACTGGGTGGCCCCGTCCTGGTCCCGGTAAACTGGATACCGCGTAAGGGTCAGGAAGAGGCTTACCCTCCCGCTTCTTGCTTTGTTGCTTCTGCTATCTTGTGGCACCATGAGCTGTTCCCCTCCGTAGCCCTCTGCCGTGCCGCTGCCTGGAAGCAGCCGAGTATGGACTGAACCCTCTAAGACTGTGAGCCAAACAGACCTTTCCCTCTCTGACTGGGTGTCCGGTGTTTTGTCTCAGCAGCGAGAGGAGTAACTAAGACAGAGTGCTCGCTTTCGAGGTTGTGAGGAAATCTCGGCCACTCCGCAATACGTCACAGCACGCAAAGTGGCCAGCAGAGTTATTAGTTGGTAGTTAAATCTGATTTTATTGAGCACGCCCTTTCATAACCCTGATGCTGTGGCAGGCGCTGCCTATGTAACATATTCTGGTTGCTACTCATTAGATCCTCCCCACGCCCAGCATACCAGGTCCTACTCTTGTGTCCATTGTCCAGATGAAGAAACGGAGGCGCAGAGCTGAAGGGATTTTCCCCAGGTTGTGAAGCTAGGAAGGACGCGGCACCGGAACGGGAACCCGAGTAATCTCGTTTCAGACTCCCCGTACTCGGCTGCGGCGGTTATCACGTAACTCACTACTTGGATTATTTTCAGGATACAGACTGCTGTTCTCATCACTCTCAGTTCCGCTCGCAAAGCAGGAAAGTTCAGCGGGGAGAAAAGTGCGTTATATAAAATGGACTCAGACGCCCTGTGCGCCTGCCGGCCCAGCGCCTCCGCACGGCGGCTCCCTCCGTGCCTGCCTTGTTTGGCTCAGGTGTTTGCTGACGCCTCGCTGCCCTGGGGAACGCTCCTCCGAAACCCAGGAAGCCCTTTCTACTGTGAATTCCTACAGCGCCACACAGTCCTCCTTGGCTGCAAAAACCACAGTACATTTATATTATTGGACTTTATTTTTTTCATGTGATGGATTGAACCTAGGGCCTCATGCTGTGCCACTAAGCTACTCTCAGCCCCATTGTTGTACATTTCTAAAATTGTTGTGAAAACAGTACTTTACTGTTTAATCACTTTTAAGCTCACAGTTCAGCGATGTGAAGTATGTTCACATTGTTATGCAACAGATGTGTAGAACTTCTCATCTTGCAGAACAGGACCTCTATACCATTAAACATGAATCTCTCTCCTTCCCCCCCCCCCCGCAACCTTTTGGCAGTCATCTTTCTTTTGCTTTGTTTTGTTTTGTTTTTGAGAAAAGGTCCTGCTCCATAATTCAGCCTGGCTTTGAATTCATTGTGTAGTGCAGCCTGGGCTTGAACTCGTGGGGGACCCTCCTGCCTCAGCCTCCCAAGTGCTTAGGTGACAGACATATGCCACCATGCCCGGCTGGCAGTCATCTTTCTATTTTCTTTTTCCATAGTTTTATTTTTATCTTGAGATAAGGTCTCACTGAGTAGCCCAGACTGGCCTTGAATTTGTGATCCTCCTGCCTCAGCCTCCCAAGTAGCTGGGATTACTTCTGTGTGCCAGCTCACCCGCATCTTCCTGTGAATTTTGACTGCTTTAGTACTTTGTATGGGTAGATCTGAACCATACTGGTCCTTTCATGCTTGGGTTATTTCATACTGTCCTTGAGGGTCATCCATTGCAGCAGCTGAAATATTTCCTTTCTTTTAAGGACTGCACCCTATTCCACTGTCAGAACAGACCACATTCTCTGTTATGTATCTGTGGGCAGACATTTGGGCTGCTTACAGTTCTTGGCCATTGTGAATAATGTCGCAAAGAACATGGGTGTGCAAATATTCGAGATCTGCTTTGAATTTGGGGGGTATGTACCCAGGAGCAGGGTCAGTGGATTGTATGGGAGATCTACTTTTAACTTTTAGAAGCATCTCTCCGCTGCTCTCCTCAGCGGCGGCGCAAATCTTCCATTCCCACGGCAGCGCACCATGCCCCACTCCCGCTTATTTTCTGTTCCTCTGATAGTGGGCAGGTAATAGGTGCTTTTCAATTGTGTGTGTGTGTGTGTGTGTGTGTGTGTGCGTGTGTGTGCGTGCGTGTGTGTGTCCCAGTACAAGGACTGGACCCAGGGCCTTCGCACTGAGCTGCATCCTCAGCCCTCTTTATCCTTTATTTTGAGGCAAGTTCTCCCTAAGTCTCTACATTGCCCAAGCTGGGCTGAAACTTGTAGTCCTCCTGCCTCAGCCTCCCCGAGGGCTGGGATTACAGGCTGCTCCACCGGGCACTCTGTGGTTTTGATTAACGGTCATTTGAAACTAATTCGCATTTCCCTCACGGTGTGTCTGGTGGCCAGCGTTTCGGCGGGCGCAGCGCGTCTGGCATCTGGCGCGCAGGGCAGTTCGCCATGCAGCGCGGGCAGCGAGCACAGCGCTCGGACGCCAGCCGGTGCGGCGGGAAGTCGGCCCGGAGCCAGCGCGCGCCACCTGCGGGCCGCGGGTCCGGAGCGCGGCGGTGGCCGGGATGCGTGCTCTTCCGCCAAGGAGGGGCGGCTGGGACGGGGATTGGAGAGGAGGAGGTGCCAGGTACGTGGCGGGGCGCGGGCGCAGGGGCAGCGCGTCACGGAGGCTCCGCGGGAGGCCGGCTGGCAGCTGTAGGAAGAACAGTTGCACCCATTACTCAGGTGCTTACTCGCCCGTGCCCACCCGGTAAGGATTTTATGAGCCTGGAGAGGTGAGTCAGAGCGCAGGCTTTGGAAGGCCTGTCTGCTGTGCATCTCTAAGCAAGTTACTTGTACTCTCTGGGCTCCAGTTTCTATCTCTGTAAAGAAGAACGGAATAGGACTTCTTTATAGGGTTTGTGTTGAGCTTTCCGGGTGGTGGGGACACAGGCGGTGCTTCCTGAATGTTTTTTTTGTTTTGTTTTATACCGGGAATCGAACTCAGGACCTTATACTTTCCAGGCAGGCACTTGTGCCACTGAGCTAAACCCCCCGCCCTATTGCTTCCTGAATGTTAAATGTTATTTCCCGTGGAATAACCCCCTGCACGCGGGGCTCCTGCCCCATTTTATCCATCAGGAGATTGGAGCTCAGATGCCTCAAGTAATTGGCTCACAGCAATTAAATGGGAGTGGTAGGGGTTTGAAGCCAGCAAATCAGACTCCAGCGTCTGCAGATTAACGGTCTAATCCAGGTCCCTCTGTGTCCTAGAGGGAGGAACCCTGTTATGCTACTGTTTCCCATCAATGAAACGGATGCAATAATAGTACTTGGCCCATGCGGTTGTTGTGAGGATTAATTAAGTCGATCAACACACACAGGCGCCTCTGATTAGTGAGGGCCTCCACTGGGCCCGGATTCTTCTCTGGTGTTATGGCAGATGCATCCCTGGTGCCTGGCACAGGGCAGATGCTCAGAAAATGCTTGTTGAACGAGCAAGGAACACACACGACTTTTATCCTTCCAGCAGTGCTGCTTGTCCCAGGCTGCTGGAGAGGAGACTGCTGTTCAGAGAGGGCGGAGCACTGCCCCGGCTTACACAGGAGGTCGGTACAGAAGCTGGAATGTAAACCCAGGTCTGTTCATCATGGAATCTGTGGTCTTTTGCTTGAGATCCTGGTTAAGTCTTAGTTTCCTGAGCTGTAAAAATGGAGAAAATAACAGCACCTAACCTGTAGTTTTTTGTGGGAATTAAATTAAGGTGGAGCCCCGAGAACACAGCCTGGCACTTCACCACGGAAGCCACAGGAAATGCTGCACCGCCCACGCGGAGCGAGGCGGGAGGGGCAGCGCCGCAGACGTGTCCACTGAGGACAGGGCAGGGCAGTGGGGAGGCGGCAGGGGCGGGCGCCGGGGCGCTGTCCTGCCTTCTGAGCAGCCCCTGTTTGCTCCTGGGAATTGCAGAGAAGCCCCTGGCCACGGCCAGATGGTGTCCACGGTCCCTGCTGTCTGTCCTGGTCACCGGGAGACTGTCTGCAGGACCCAGCCCTCACGGCAGCCAATGCATTTGGCTGTGGGAGGAGGACTGTATATTCTGCCCGTCCCAGCGGAGCCGGGGTCCAAATGTCATCTCTGAGCCACCCCCAGCTCTGGGACCTGGGCAAGTTGCCTTGACGTCCCAGGTGCCTCCGTTCGTAGGACAGGAAGATAACTGGGTCCCATAGAGCTGCTGGGGGAGGACCTGAGCTCAGGCTTAGAAAGCATTGCACGCAGGGCCTGGCACTCAAGGAGTGACCACTGCCTGTGCTCGTGTTAGCCGGTGCTTGCTGCCCTCTGCCGCAGCTGGCCTGGGTCTGTGGCTGAGCAGAAAAACCTTGCTGCGAGGGTAAAAAGGCACCTTCCTGGGGCCTCTGTGCATCTGCGGTCTCCTTCCAGGGCTCCCCACCAGCCAACTCCTTGGGAAGGCCAGTGCGGCCCGTACCTGTGCCCAGGCAGTTTCTGGGGCAACAAAGTTGGCACAGTGTGGGAAGGGCACCATGCTGCCTGCCTGGGGTATGGAGTTCCCTCTTGTGGGGCCCTGGGCTGGGGAGGGAGCCTCATCTTTTAATGCTGTCATAGTCATTAATGTCTGTTCTTTTTTTTTTTTTTTTTTTTCCGGTTTTTATTTCCGGTACTGGGAATTGAACTCATAACCTTGCACATTAACGTCTGTTCTATGTGCCAAGCATACTGCTAAGCCCCCAGCTTTATAATCTTTAGCACTTGGGCTCCGGAGCCTGATAGCCTAGGTTCAAATCCTGCTTTGGTTACTTTTTAGCAGTGTGACCTTGGGCCAAGTAACTTAACCTCTCTGTTCTGCAGATGACTCATCTTAAACGCAGTGGTTGTTAGCAGTGTCTAGCTCATAAGGCTGCTGTGAAGATTCACTATCACCCACACATATATAGTGAGAGAAAGAGCGTAATGCTAAATGGTCACTTTTAATATATTATAATTATCTCCAATTTACAGCTGAGGAAGCTGAGGCAGGTCAGGGAAACTGATAACTGCCCAAGGACACAGAGCTGTCCTTTCTTCTCCTACCTCTGTCCATTTATTTCTATTTCCTTTGCGGCCCTAATTTATGCCCCCTCCCCATCCTGGTACCGTCACCAGCCACTCGGGGATCCCTCTTCTTGTGTCTGGGGCCCCAGCACATGCCGCTTTTGGAAAGTTCTCCTCCCCTGCACCTCAGAGTTCTCAGTGATCTCAGACAGCTCTTTCATCTACCCTTCCTAGTGTGTTCTCCAATTGCGCGTGGCACATACACAACGTATTCTTAGAGCTAACTTATAAAAGTGCTTGCTGAGAAGCTCACGGGCTGTGCTGCCTCATCCCTGCTGGTGACTGCTGTTTAGAGTTTCATGCAGGAGATGTTATCAAAAAATACAATATTTTAATTAAAAATGTATTACAGTAAAAGACACACAGCCATCAACCCCCTCCTCACAAAAGTTCCCCTCACACTCATCCTGTCGTTCCTGAAGCCGTTCTACAAGTCCTGTTTTGGAGTGTTCAAGCCCAGCCTGGGCAACTTAGCAAAACCCCATTTTAAAATAAAAAATAAAAAGGGCTGGGAGTATAGCTCAGTACAGAGGCCCAGGGTTCAACCTCCAGTACCACAAAAAAACAGCAATAACAAACAAACACAAAAGGGCTATAAAGTCTGGTCTTGTACACATTTCGCTATACGTAGTCAAAAGGGGTAAACTAGAAACGAAAGAAATGACCGGTCGTAAATTCCTACGGTTCAGAACTCCTGGCCGGCTATGAGGCATAATCATTCAACCAGCGTTTCAGTTTGATCAGTTTATCATTAGGTAGCTTACAGATTTACTAGGAAAAAAACATCCATAGAGCATATCTTGTAAAGAATCAAGAAACAGGAAGATTGTGGAGATCTGACTCATGTATACGGCCCCTGGAGAAAGAGCAACGAAATTTCCAGTTGAAGACATTTCCTTGCTGGTACACTTAAAGCAAAAACGAAATGATAATCTTCCTAAACTTCGGGGACTTCTGGACGCGCGCCCCGCGATGCTGTTTCGCTCTGCAGAGTAACACACCGTTCTAACCGTGAACCGCGTAGACGCCCTTGGTGGAGAGACCGCGGGCCGGCGCAGCCTCAGCCCTCCGCGCTTCCCCGAGACCGCCGGCTGCAGCTACACCTCCGAATAAGCCTCCCCTTGGTATTTTGTGGCCCATTTCCCACCACAGCGCGCAGCAGTACGAGCACCGAGCCGCTGGAGCAGCAGGCAGCGCAGGCAGCCTGGAGCCGAGGCCCAGAAGAAGGTGAGCACAGCCCGCGGGGTGGGGGTGGGGTGGGCCTTGGAGGCCCCTCGGGAGCCGAGCCTGGTCCAGCTCTTTTTCTTTAAATGAGCCCCACGAAGATTCAAATGCCATGGGAAAAGGAACTTGTTCTGGCACTTAAAAAAATATAGGAATCTTACCGAGTCCTAGATTATCTACTTGTTTCTTTCTTTCCGAATGTCTAAGAAGTCTCCTGCGCACAGAAAACCCTGCAGGAAGGATTGGCAATCCGGCAGGTGGGGTTTCCCCCGCTGAACCTGGAGTCCCAGGCGGCTGGACATGAGCACTAGGATAGTACCTTCTTTCTCAGGTCACATTACCAGCACTTGGACAGGTTCCATTCTCCCAGTTTGCCGATGAGAGGTTAAAACTGAGGCTCAGAGAGGTTGAACAATTCAAATGCTAGAGTCAGCGCTTGGATCCCAGTCGGCCCGCCTTGGAATGCGAGCTGTTTTCACACTGCCTGTCCTTTATCTCTGCAGGGACTTGGCACTTACTGCCTAACCATAATTGCAGAGTTAAACTGCACGCTCTAATGCTGTCCTCAGGGACCTATCTGCAGCACAAGCAGCCAGTGCCTGGGGGTGTCTGCTAGAGCAGCCCTTTCCAGAGAACAGCTTGTTGGATTAATGATTTCAGATAGTCTCTTCCACAGGGGGAAAAACCCGCCTACTTACTTCCTTATGGTGTCTGAGAAATAAAATAGCCTCTAAAAGGGACTTTGCTCTTTTTATTGCGCTGATGCGGGAAGAACATTGATTAAAGGACACAGCCACGTTCGGGAAGAAAGACACGAGTTGGAAGCCGAGTCAGGTTCTACTTGGCAAGCCCGGTGCCATGGGCACAGCTGTGGTGCTTTGGCTGCAAGACCAATCTGCGTGTTAACAGGTGAGAGCCTGCGAGAGCTGAGAACCAGGGGGAAAGAAAACTCTGGGTAAACATCCCTCTCCTCTTGGGAGCAGAGTGGCAACCAGTGTAGTGTAATGGTAGGACCGAGCCACCAAGCTGCGCAGTGTTTAGGGGAACCCATGCAGAGGACGGAAAGATGAGATTCGGGGCTTGGGGTCTCCACCGTGTGTCTCCCTGGCTTTGACGAGAGTGTAAAGGGAACCCACCTGGATATTTCTGCAGGACTGAGGGCAGATCAGAGAGATGGAGGTGGAGGTCGCACAAACACTGGCGATGCCTGGGACTGTGCTGTGGAGAGCAGGCACGGGGGCTGTCCTGTTGCTTTCTGCTGGATGCAGGAACAGAATAGATGTGCAGTAAATATTTGTCAGAGGAAAGACTGGTGGGAAGTGGGAGGCCAGAGAACTCGGTTGTGGGCGCAAGGTCTCCAGTTGCTGGCTAAAATCGGAATCCCAGCCTTCCTAGGTCCTAACTGTGAGACCCTGGGGAATTCTTGTGCCTGTCTGGCCTTGGTGTCTTTACCCGTACATGGCTGGATGCTGAAAGCGCCCCCTCCACATAGGATATCAGGGAAGAGTATATGGGGCACGATATGCATCCAGTAAGAGCTGCCTCAACCCCCTTCATCTCTGAGTCTTTCTCTCCCTCCCCCGATTAACAGTGATAGTGTTGAAGGCCACGATCACAGTTCAGGGTCTGCAGGCAAAGGGGTACAGGCTTTGATCTCGTTCTGCTTCTGGTTAGCTGTGTGAGGTTGGCTGAATTGAGTCAGTTAACCCCTCTGGGCGTCTATGTGATCATCATAAAGGAGGAACTCTCTAAGGTGGTCTGAAGACGCAGTTGCTAAGGCATTTGAAGGTTGTAGTATTTGGGATTCTGATGGCTCCATACATGGTGCCGCCTTTATGTTTCTTATCATCAGGAGATGATATGTTTCTTCTCCTCTCTGCACGGGAGAGAGGAGAAGTGCTCCACAGAGATGGCTGTCAAAAGTGGGGCTTAGAGTTGGATTTTCCCAGGAAAAGTTCTCTCCCCACAAGACGGTGTCAGGCGGAAGGCACATACATCTTCACCACAGTTCAGTGAGTCACTTGATGAATGCTTTTACGAAGATTTCCCAGAACAGGGCTGGGCATATAGGTCAGCGGTGTAAGTGACTGCCTGGCAAGTGCAAGGTCCTGAGTTCGATTCCCGGTACCAAAAAAAAAAAATTTCCCAGAACAGGGTGACAAAGATAACTATATTATTGTGAAGGTCCATTGTCCCTAGAGATAAGCCCCGGCTGTGGAATTATCAGGTAGTGTCATTTCTGTAAAGGAATTAATAGGGGAAAAAATGATATTTCCATATTTTTATAAATGCTAGAACAAATTCTGTTGCCTATAGTATTTCAATCTGAGTATTGCTTAAAAGAAAAAACAAGTCTTATTTCTGTAATTCAGAAAAAAAATCAGCAGCTCGTAGTTACCATTACTAACCTTTGATGTTATTAGCACCCACATTAAATGCAAAATGGTGTTGGATGTGGTGGTCCATGCCTGTAACTCCAGCATCTGGGAAGCTGAGTCAGGAGGATCACAAGTTTGGGCCTATCTTAGGCAATTTAGTGACTTAGCGAGACCCTGTCTCAAAATAAAAAGTGAAGGCCTTGGGTTCAATCCTCAATACCAAAGAAAGAAAGAAAGAAATTTTTAAAGTAGAGATGGAAATTTCTCCCTCCGCAGAGACTTGAGTTATACATGTATAATCAGAGGCAAAACAGTGGAAATGAGACAGGGAGGCTCCGAGAAGATGGCTTAATTTGTCCCGAGAACTGCCTGCCCTTCCCTCGGTGAGAGGAGACATGGTTGCCAGTCCATGTGGAGCTGGGCCAGAATGGAGCCCAAAGGACAAACCAGTAATTCTAATGCTGTCTTAATTGAAGATGTCAATGTTTAGTTCATCATGGATTCTGTTACGCTTTGGCTTTGAGGAAGGTACCGGGGTTTGAACCCAGCGCCTCCACACTGACCTATATTCCCAGCCCTATTTATTTATTTATTTATTTGTTTATTTTATTTATTTATTTATTTTGAGGAAGGGGTGTCACTAATTTGCTAATTTACCTGGGCTCAAACTTTTGATCTTCTTGACTCAGCCTTCCGGGGCATTGGGGTTACTAAAGGTCTGTCAGTTTGTAAAGCTTTTATTAGGGGAACGTACAGAGGGCTGCAGGCAGCAGGAGAAAGGAATGTCCTCTGGGTGTCTTTGCAGTGAGGGATCAGAATGCAGAATTTACATGAGGGCTGAAGGAATTTTACCTCAAAACCATGCCAGTTTCTTTCAGGGTTTGCTGCAACAACCTAAGGACCTTTATCAGTGTCTGGAAAGGTTCAGGCCCCCGGTGTGGGCTTAAGCCTGCTGGGAAAATCCTGTAGCCGACTGGGCCACAGGGCAGTTATGGCACTCTGACTTTTGGTCAGGACAAAAGAGAAGGTGGGGTTTTGGGGGGACCCTAAAATCCTACTAAACTCTCAGATATTGGGGAAGGGTTGCACACTGACCGAGACCCCAACACCAGCTGGGTGTCCACACTTTCATTAAATCTGGGCCCTGTCTACCTGGAGACAGTGTCAGACCCCACAGGCTAAGGGCTTAGTCCCATGAGACTGACCCCACCCAGGTGCCAATCACAAGTAAGCTTTGGCCTCTTGTCAAGAGAAAGTACAACAAGTTTAGTTTAAAGATCTTAATTGACTTGTCTTTCTTTTTCCTTTTGTTTTTTTTCCCTAGCACTGGGAGTTGAACCCAGGGCCTTCACATTGAACCACAGCCCTAGGCCCCCATGCCCTTTATCTTTATTTTAACACAGGGTTTCACTAAGTCATTAAGTTCCCCGGGCTGGGCTCCAACATCCTCCTGCCTCAGCCTCCCAGAGTTCTGGGGTTACAAGTATGTGCCACTGCATCCAGGTGATTCTAGAACTACATAACCCCTTATTCTGTAAACTAGAAGTGACTGTTTTGATGAGCCGGGTGAAAACATGGAACAAGAAGCAGGTTGATTGTGCCAAATGTACTTTCCCTGAAAAGGTTAAAGCAGAGGGGACTTTGCTATCATGTCAGCTGAAACTGTCTTGATCAAGGATTTGACTATAGCCTCTTTCCTTCCTTGAAAACTCAGATGAACAACTTAGTTTGGTCTTGGTGGTGTGGAACGTTAACATGAGTGATTCCATTTTGGTTTGGTTCTCTTTGGCCTAGAGCGCAAGAGCTCAGTCCAAACTGAGAATTCTATTTAATATGCTGACCTTTGACTAATCAGCTAGGAATTAATGGTTCCCCCAACTCTTTACCAGGTTCAATCATTTGCCTGCACAGCCTTCACAACTCAGGGAAACACTCTCGTTCTTCTTCATCAGTTTACTGTCAAGGATATGATAAAGGGTACTGATAGCCAGGTGAAAAAGGCACAGGGCAAGTTCCAGAAGGGTGTCGAGTGCAGGAACTTCTGTTCCTGTGGAGCTGCGGTGCACCGCTAACAACAAGCTGCGTCTAGCCTGGAAGCGCCCTGAACCCTGTGTAGTTTGGGGATTTGTGTGGCGGTTTTGTTACGCAGGCTTGACCTGTTGCTATTCTGTCTCTATCCAGCCCCTGTCTCCTTCCAGGAGAAGAGGGTTGGGGCTAGAAGTTCCAGCTTCTAACCATAGCTTGGTCTTTCTGGTGACATCCAGAATCCATCATCCAGGAATCCACCAAGAATCATCTCGTTAGAGTGAAAGAGGCTTCCATCTGCCAGGAAATTTCAAAGGATTAGGATTAGGAGCTCTGTCAAGACCTGAGATTAAAGACCAGCTGGGGATAGAGCCCAGGGCCTCATGCATGTTAGGCAAGTGCTCCACCACTTGCATCCCCAGCCCTTTGTAAATTTTTTAAAATTTTAAGACAGAGTCTCACTACATTGCCCACTGGCCTTGAACTTGATATCCTCCTGCCTCAGCCTCCCAAGTAGCTGGAAGTAAAGCTGTGTGCCCCGACACCCAACTTCTTTTCTCTTTTATTTCAAGTGCTGTGGATCAAACCCAGGGCATCACACATGCCAGGCAAGCTGTACTGCTGAACTTCACACCAGCCCTAAACCAAATGTTAGAATGAAAGATTTTCGGGGCTGGGGATTTAGCTCAGTGGCACAGTGCCTGCCTGAGTTCGATTCCTGGTACCGGAAAAAAAAAACAAAAAAGAAAGATTTTCCCATCACCCATATTGATCAGATGATTACAAGAGTTTTAGGAGCTCTGTGCGAGAACCCAGGGACCAAAATCATATGCATTGATAATATTATTATAAATCACAATATCACATGGGCATAAATAATCGTGTTCATTTTAGGCAAGTTGTGCCCATAGAAAACAACATACTGTATAACTTTATGTCCCTTCATGTGGGCCGCTGAAGGAAATGGATTGGTAGGACCAGGTGAGCTGAGCTATTTTCCTGAGTGCCCTTAACAGCTGACAATCAGGTCGGAATGTGGTCTGCTCATGTCTGGACCCAATGTCCTTTAAGCTTTCAGGGGATTGCTTATTTTGGAGTTTCTTCGCGTCTTTAAGTTTTTGCTGCAGAGAGGGTGCCTGGCCTTTACCACGTCTCTGACCCTACCTGCTTCTTGCTCATTCCCACGTGGATGGCGTCATGAGGCGATGCTTCCTGGGCCAGTGTCACAGCCGCTAGCCCGCCTCTTCTTTCCGTTGTGTCCGAAACACGATTCTGTCTCTCAGATACCTTTTGGGGGCTTGCTTTAAGCTTATCCTCAAGCAAGTTGGAACTTTCTTACATTTTGCATATCTGCAAATGGCTCTTAATTTTGTCTTCAAATGTGCTTGGCAGTTTTGCTGGGCACCAGATTTTAAGTTGAAGTCATTTTTTGTCAACACTAATATAATATCTGTTGGTACTGATGTGAAGTCTGATACCAGTGTGACTTATTCCTTTGAAGATAAA